ACACTTTAGCATGCGGTGTCAAAAAAGGATCCGTGCTTCCTACATGCGGCTTTCCGAGGAACAGGTGCATGAGAATGTTCCCCATACAACTCATTCTAACTGATTCGTATATAACATCCACTTTTCATATACTCTCCCCATATATATACATATATATATACATATATATATATTATTGGTTTCATCATTGATATCTACAGAAGTGCATGTGGACCACCACCGCGTGTCAGGACCACCTTTCTGCGGCAGCTCGTCTATATTGGAGGTATGCATGGTGCATTGATCATGGCATTTGTCAGATCACCTAAGGGTATTGAGTGAGTGCATCAGCATGTCCAAGAGGGTTTGGAGGGGTAATTAATGGGTCTTGGAATAGGAGTCACACAGGAAGTACATGCGAGCAACTGCCCAGCATGCTTAATGTATATAGCTTCACAACTGATGAATCTTTGAGCTCTCCCACCACCCCCCTTTTCGTGACCCATGATACCTCGTTGCCCAACCCGCATGCAGGAACATTGCAATTGGCCCAATGCTGTGCTGGCAGGCGGGGTTCGACCTGTCACATGATGTTTAGTTGGTGCATCTATATGATACAAACCATCTACTTTGAAGTTTTTTTGGCCGATATGTCGAATTATGGGTTTGAGTTTGTGTTTGACGCATGACGCATGTCGACATCAGTCAGATATACACACATAGATCTCTATATATATATATATAAATACATGTATATATCGTGTGTTTTGTACATGTAAAGACTGTATACCCAGACATGATAGAGTTGCATGGCATGCACTGTTTTTGATGAACATGGCTGGTATGACATTCATGGCATTTTTAATCTAAACCGTTGCAACGTGGCAGGACTCACCTTCACGCGGCAGCTCACCATGGGAGGCCCTGTTTCATATAGGCATGCTGGGCGCATTGCGCTCGCGTGCATCGTTCCTTCATATATCATGTAGACTTGGACTTCTATTTAGCCACCATTTCCACTCAGCATATTGCAAGCGAGCTGTTGCCCAGCCTGCTTCATATATCTTTTCAGGATGAATGTTTGCATCATCCAGCAACTGTCCAACATGTCCACCGTTTGATCAGAGACGAGCCACATGCCTTTGCATGCATATTAGAAATCCTCAAATGATATTGGAACTGGCTTTGAAAACCATTATGCCATGCTTTTGGTATAGAATTCTCTCTATCCCGGAAATTCAGTTTCATTCGTCCCGCAGGACCAGCTTGGACGCCATGTGGCATGAGGCGCACCTGGAAGCGAGTTGCATGCGCGTTGCATCTGAGCGTGCTGGGCACACATGCTCGCACGAGTCATGTATATATATATATACTTGCGGTGCATTCCAACAAGCATTGCATGACTCTCACTTTGTTGCCTGCATGCTTGCACATATATGGATTGATGCAACTCGTCTATATTCCTGCATGGCTCAGAGAGGGATTTTCCTCAGAGACACCCACGTGGCCTGCACGGGACCATGGCGACCATAGGGTCTGAGCTGATCTCTGACCTGCGCCACACGAATGACTTCCTGAACCAACAGAGGAACATTCTCTCTGAGAAAGGATTCAAGGAAACTTTAGCAGGCCAGACAAAAATGTTCGAGACCCGGCTGCTGAAATCGCAAGGTATGATTGGCACTGAGCATGCCAGGCAGCTTTCAGAACTCTTGAGTGGTGGTCCATGGGATGCTGACATGAAGGAGAGGTTGGGATCAGCTTTGAACAAAGCGCTCCTTCCCAAAGAAGGAGCTGTTCATGGAGCTTCTGGCTCACCCCGACGTGCAAACCAAGAGTGCCTCTGCTTCACAAAGTACCTCACAGCAAAAGAGCTCGAAGTGCTCGCTTCAGATTGTCACCATTCGACCAAGGTCGAAACATTGATGATGAGAATGGAAAAGATTGGCTTGCACTTAGCCACTGAACGAACATATGCTAGCATCGTTGGCTCAGCTGCCCAGCTGGGCATCAAGCTGGGTGCAAATCTCACAGGTGAGCAATTGTTGCAAGACTTGAAGTCGAGATTGCGGTCGTATCTGAAGCACAGGCCAAGGCTTGATGCATCCTTGTTTCTCATCAAGTACCCGGCCACGCCTGATGAACTGCCTGATGCGCTCTGGCAAAGAGCGTACTCAAAGGATGATCAGCCTGAGGGCAGGGACGTCCATGCAGAATACGTCAGGATGAGGAAGAGAAGGGATGCGGCCCAGCAGACCATGATGGCCACGGGCAGCGGTGGGGTCAGCACTGGACGCGAAGGTGGGGTCAGCCCCATGGAAGTCCTTATGCAGTTCATGCAGACCATGATGGCCCAGCAGAACGGCGGCGGCATCAACCTGCAGATGAACTTGCCCAGGAAGAGGCAAAAGGCTTTGGAGGACACTTCTGCAGAGAAAACGCCGCTGGCCTTGGAAGACAAGAAGGATGATCCCGAGGAGAAGGATGACCAGAAACAGGAGAAGGATGAGAAGAAGGCCGAGAAGAAGGAAGAGAACAAAGTGAACTTGTTTGACCTTGATGTCACTGCTGGGAAGCCAGCAGATGCCAAAGAGCATATGGAAAAGACTTCCAATGCCATGCAGAAGCGAGCTGAGGCAAAGGAGGCGGAAAAGATCGGCAAGCCGAAAGCAAAGGCAAAGGGCAAGGCGAAAGCCAAGAGTGCAGCGACCAAGGCCAAAGCCAAGGCTGTGGCAAAGGTCATTGCAAAGCGACCGGCGGGGAAGTCTGATCCACCCGGAGGAGGGCATGATGATGCTGATGATGGAGATCTGAAGCTGGGATGCATGAAGTGCCGAGGGGCACGCAATGGATGCATCCAGTGCCGTCGAAGCAGCTACACAGGCCGCAGAGTGACCCGAGCAGAGTGGGTGCGTATCAGCAACAGTGAGGGATACAAGTGAGCCCATGCATTCATGGCATGATCTTTGAAGATATTGTATCTATAAACATTTATTTCAATATATACATATATATATATATAGGGCTTGCATCCAGATTCAGCCAACTTGCAAAAGCCGTTTCTTTGAAACATGTTGCGGAGAGCTTGCAATGGGCCAAATTGCATCCATGAGGGGTGTTGTTTCCACAGCTGGCTTTGCTAAGCCAGACCGCACATGAGGGGTGATGTTGAATATGTTTTTGAAAAGCCATTTGCGGCCTGCAGTGCAAAAAAGTCAGGCGCATTGTGTTGGTTGCACATGTGTAACCTTGGTTGCCGCTAGTTGTGGAACATGGGATGGGACACGTTCAGATCAGACCTGCGAAACGTCCACGCATCAGCCACCTATATATAATGCATGGTGTCAACCCCATGGCTCAATGAAGCATCAAGACAAACATATCCCGCTATCCCGCTGTCAAGCAAAACTCTCGCTGGCGTCATGAAGCGACCTGCCGCAAAGGGCACCAAGGGCTCCACTGTCATGAAGACCGCCGCGGTCATGAAGGGCATGAAGGGCAAGATTGGCATGAAAGGGATGACGATGAAGCCGATGAAAATCATGAAAGCCACGAAGAGCACGAAGGCTTGCATGAAAGCCATGAAAGCCATGAAGGCCATGAAGGCTTCACCAATATCCAGACACTTTGACCGCAGTGGTGAGGCCAATCAAGTTTCTTTGAAGCTTGGTTCCAAGTCTGGAAAGCAGCAACTCCCAGAGTCTAGTAGCACAAGCAAGTCATGCAACCTTGTTTGTTTCGTTGACGAGACTAGTAACACCGTTTTTGCTCTTTTGACTTTGTTTGCATCATTGTCTTTTGAGCCAGTTGTGCAAATCACCAGAATGCTTCGCCTTCACTGTTGGAATATCCTTCTGGGTATTTGTGTTGGGTTGACTGTCTTGACCAGTTGTTTTTGCGGATTTGACTTGACTTGCTTTTTGCTGCTGCCTTTCCGTGATGGTAGCCTTTGTTTGCTTGAGTCCTTGCTGATTGTCCTTCTCAATCTTGCGGCGCAGTGGGTTTGTCTACTGGCCCTGGTGTGCGTGGCAGTCATGCATGTGCCTTCTAAGCTGACAGTGTGTCGTCGCTCTCACGTTGTTGTTGTCCGGAAGTCTTTGTGGCCGGATCTTCTTGGGGGCACTGGTTTGGAGGAAATTGGTTCCAAGTCATGGTTGGACAACATCTTGCAGGGCTTGAATGCCCGACAACTGAAGCCACCCATGCAGCAAGTTCGGATGCTCGCGCAAGATGAAGCCACTTTGCGGCGACTACAAAAAAGTGAATCGCTGAAACATCAGCTTGACATTATTTGTGGCGCTGCTTATAAGGCCAAGTTGTCGTGGAAGAAAATTGATCAAATTGACCCTGTTTCTTCTTCTCTCTCAACTGCTGCCCCGGCGGCTCCTCCTCCTTTGCCTGAAGTGCAAACATGGAGGTTGCGTGCTCGTGACTGGAAAGTTGTGAAACCAGCAGCTACCGATGGTGACGCTGTGAGTGGAGAAAGGCATGATGCATTTCGCGATGTGGCTGATGGGGACCCTTTGTCGCACTTGTGGTCTCGCAAGTTAGGTGCCTATTTTGTGTCTGCGGTTGAGGCTACTCGCATTGTTCGGTCCGTTCCTGCCCATGCCCCTCCAGTTGGTGTTTTCACTCTTGTCACTCTTGAAGCAACTGCGCGTTCTGAGGTGCAACCGGTCGAGACTATTGTTGTCTTTCCTGACAATAGTCATCACATTTACAAGGTTTTTCTCACGCACCTCGGCACTGACAAGTTGAGAACTACTGCTTGGACTACGGTATCGCTTGCTTCGGTTGATTCTGTTGAAGTGTTGCTTGAATGGTGGAAAGATTTGTCTGATGGAGCTGTTTTGGCTGCCTTTGATAAATTTGTGAAACTTGCTTCTTCGCCTGTTGATTCTGATAAGGACTCCTTGGCCAACAAGGGCAAGTCCAAAGGCAAAGGCAAGACCAAACATGGTAAACTGCCTCACCGTTTGTCTGACACTTTGGTCGCGAATTTGAATTCACACGTGAGTCATATGCTTGGCGATGCCACTGGCCAAAAGCTGGCTGGCGCATGGACCGCCTCCGGCCACAATGTCAGGGCTGATATCATTCGCGTTTCTGTTCGCCTCCCAAAAGCGGATGCCCTTACCTGTTTGAAATCGGGAACGCAGCACAGTGCCGTTTTGGTTCGGGATATTCACACCATTCCTGAGGCGAAAGACTTGTGTTGCGTCTGGATTTCTCCTGGCTGTCCTGTCCTTGAAGGTTCTGCGGCCCACACTCGCCAAAGTTTGCAGTTGTATTTGGCTAGCTTTGCTCACCCTTGGTCTGTTGTGCGTACTCCTTTTCGTTGGGGGATCAGGATCCACAAAGATCATGAGAGAGAAGTTAAAGCCATTGTGCAGCCGCATGCTGTGTTTGTGCCTGCTGATCACTTCAAGTATCGTATTGCGCATGTTCCCCGATCCCTTGATCCTGCTGTTCTGGTTGCCACTCTGACCTCTGACTCGTTCAAGCCCTACTTGGTTTCGTCTTTCAAGGGAGTTGTGACCATAGCTGCGCCCTGTCCACCTGCGGACATTGTGTTTACAATTGCTGAGCTTGGTTGTACTCTGTTACTTCAGCATCTTCCTGGTCCTGCCAGTGGTGGTCCTCCTCTTGTCCCGTCCCGCCATGTTGAAGATGCGAGCCCAAAGCGAAAGAGTCGGCGAGCTGACTCTGAAAATGCTTCTGTTGGTCCTGACAATGGCCATGGTGCTGACACTCGGGGTGGAGCTAAGGGAGGGGTTCTTTCTACTAATCCGTTTGGTCCTTTGGATGATGCCTATCAAGTTGCTTTTCCGCCTTTGCCCAACGCTGGTGTTGCTCGGGAGCTCGCTTCGACCGAACCTGAGTTTGAGCTTGGAACCCTGCCTAATCTCGGGAACACATGTTTTGCGGCTGTGGCTGTCCGTTGTTTGGCTCACATTGTCAAAAAGTCGGATTTGCGCTCGTCTGTCCTTCAAGATGTTTCCTTGAGGCGTTTGTTGGATGACTTGTCGCCGGCCCAGTGGACGCGCTTCATCAAACATCATCACCTCGAGCATGGTCAGCAGCAAGATGCTGCTTTGTGGTTGCAGAAGTGGTTGGACTCTGAGTCGGTTTTGTGTTCGCATCTTTCTGTCACTGAACATGTTGCTCTTGAATGTGTTGGGTGCAGTGAGCCCAAGACAGCTGAATCAAGTTTTTCTCTTTGGCGCGTTCCCGCTCCCAGTGGCGGCTCTACTTCGTTGCAGAAGCTGCTTGATGATGATCAATGCTGTTCGGCCAACCCTGAGGTTGAAGTCTCGTGCTCATGTTGTTTTGCTGAACACGCGGAAGCTGTGTCTAAGCGTCTTTCTTTGAATGACTGGCTTCTCATTCAGACTCTGAGGGCTGATGTCAATGATAAGAAAAAACACACGGCTATTTCACTCCCCGACACGGTTGTTGTTGCTGATGCGTCTTGGGATATGCACCTTGCCGTGTGTCACTTGGGTGAGTCTGCGTCTTCCGGGCATTATGTTTTGCTTGTTCGTTCAGGTCACGATTGGCTGTTGTATGACGATGGAACTTGTCGTGTTGCCTCTGCTCAAGACATCTTGGATATGCCTTCTTCCTGGTCGTTTGTGTTGTATCGTCGGCGTTGTGAAGGATCGTCGCCGCAGTCTCCTGCTGTTGTTGTTGTTGTTGTTGACATCGCTGCCTTGCCTGCATCATGTGCTGATGCCGTTCCTTCGTCAAACCCTCCTGTTGCCCACCCCACGGTTGGTCCTGGCAGGGATGACCGCCCTGACATGCCGTCTGCTGACAAGCGTGCTGACAGTGTCAATGATTCCAGCGGCCCTCTCCATGCTGATTTGCGCAGCTTGCTTGCGGTTTTGTCTCAGCGGGTTGATGCGCTTGAGGTTGAAGTGCAATGTCTTCGGGGAGCTGGTTCCCTTCATGAGAAGCTTGTGTCCTTGGCTTGTCCGGGTTCTGGTCTGTCCGTGCCTGTGCGTTCAACTCTTGGCGATGCTTGTTCTCCCGGTGGTGACCGTCTAGGAGACACGGTTGCGAGCAACCCTGGCTGTGATGCGGATAAGCTTGTTGTTGCCTCTTGTCAGGGTCAGACCGGGATGCAGGCCCAATCCTTCCCTTGTGGCCCTCCTCCCCCGGTCGTTATCGAACCTGTTCCTTCGGACGCTTTACCAAAACGGAAAAAGCCAGTCGAAAAACAAAGCAGCAATCTGTCATCAATTCCTGTGGGCTCTTTTCCCCGTTCCACCAATCCGGCAATTGTGGCTGAAATCCTTCGCTTGCAAACTGCTGGCTTTGCTGAAGTTGCTTGGATTTTTGAGCGCTTGCACGCTGACTCCATTTTGCTCCCTTTGGCCCAACAGGCGCAAGACGTTGGTGGTTGGAAAAATCTGGGTGAAGCTTTGACTTATAACAGTCGTGAAGCTCAAACTCAACTCCAGAATGATGGCATCCATAGCCCAAGCGTCCGCTGGCTTGTGTTTCGCATGCTCCAGCGTGGGAGGTATAATCGGTTTGCTTCTGTCCTGGCGGCTGGTCATTGGGACCTCTTGCGTCAGAGTTTGGCTGTGTGCGACGTTCCTGACTGGTGGTCGCCTCCTTGGTGTCGTCCTGTCCATCGTCCGCATGCTGCGCAAGCTCGTGGTCGTCGCCCGTTGCTTCCTCATGAATGGCATCGCGCCCAAAGTTCCAAACGCAGTCGCCCCCCTGTTCCTGTTGCTCCTTGTGTTGGTGGCCCTGTCCGTTCGCGCAGTCGTTCCCGTTTTCGCGATCAAACCTTGCCTGTGCCGGTTGCTCAACCTGCTGTAGTTGGAGCTCGTAAGGTCTCTGTGGCCGTTCCCACCTCTTCTGTGAAGAACAAGAAGAAGCGCAAGGCGAAAGGCCAAGCTGATGTCAAAGGGGGTGAAACTGAATCTGGTTCAACTCCTTCCTTGTTTCGGGTTGCTGCTATGAATGTGACTTCCCTTTTTTCCCGTGTTGCTGCGGTCTGTGCTCTTACGTTTGGTCTGGCGTGTGTCTCGGAGACTGCTCTCACCGGTACCGGGCAAGCCAGTGTTACTATGCGACTGCAGCAGTCAGGGCGTTGTGTAGTTTGGGGCGCTCCTGTGCATGGTCCTGGCGTTTCGTCGTCTCGCGGTGTTGCCTTGATTGGTGGTCCTGGCGTTCGTCTTTCGCCGCTTGATCTCCCGGATTGCCTGTTGGATTATTGGGCCGATGGTCGTATTGTTGCTGGCAAAGTGTCTCAGCAGTTTGGCAAAGCGGATATTACTTGTGTTGCGTGCTACGGTCACACACATGATGTTCAACGCCGAGAAGACATGCTGAGCCAGATTGTTGGTTGGGTGCTGTCGTTGCCCGGTCATGTCCTTGTCGCTGGGGATCTCAATTCCTCTCTTCAGGATTCACTTGCTTTACACCAGCTCGTGCGGCAGGGTTATCGAACGGCCAATCCTCAGGAAGTTGTGACATGCTGTGCTCATAACTCTCACACGGGTTCCGTTATCGACCATGTCCTTTTTTCTCCTTCATTGTTGCAGTCCTTTGTGTGTGGGGAGGTTCTCTCTGCTGCTCCCTTCCCCACCCACCGACCCGTTTGCGCTGATTTTGATTTCAATCCTGCTCATGACTCTTGGAGTGTTTTGCAACCTCCTCGGTCTTTCCCTCTTTCCGAGTGTGTCTCCCGTTCTGTTAAGTCCCAGGATTGGTCTGCTGACTTTATTCATGTCTCTAATCTCCTTGAAGATGAACGCCCTGATGATGCGTATGCTCTATGGACCCAACTCGCTGAATGTGAACTTGCGCGGCAGTGCCGACTTGGTGGAAAAACTGTGTGCTCCTCCCATTTCGGTCGCGCTGTTGTTCCTGCTCTTAGGGTTTGTGATCCGCAGTCTCTTCGGCTCCAAGGTGATGTTGACTTTCGTCGACTTGAACGCGCTCGTGCTGGCTTAGCTGAACTGTGCTCCTGTTGGGATTCTTGTGTTGCTAACAATCACAGCCAAGCCATCTGGACAAATGCTCGTCGTCGCATCCTCCTTGTGTTTCGCTCTCATCCTCTCCCGAGCCAACTCCCTGGCAAGGTTGAAGTCCAAACTCAACTTGATTGGTTGCGGCGCACGATTGATCGGCGCAATAAACAACGTCGCGATGAAGTTTTGTCGGCCTGGCGCACTCGCATGCAAATGTCGCAGGCTGAAAGATTCAAATGGGCTAAGGCCAAATACACCTCCTGGCAAAACATTCACGATACCGTTGCTTGCTTTCGAAAGGTTGAAGAGATCTGGCAACCGATCTTGGCTCGACGCCCGGATGCAGCCCCTTCTTGCCCATCAAACTTCACCGAAAATGGTTTTGCTGAGCCTGCCTTGTCTAGCTCTCTCAAAAGTACGTTGCACCAGCTTGATATGCTTCGCATGTCTGGTTCTGATCTTCGGTCTGCAGTTGACAAAATTGCGGCTCACTCCGCTTGTGGTGCTGACGGTTGGCGTCGGTGTGAGTTGCTTGCCTTGCCCGCCTGTTTCTGGGATCTCTTGGCTCAGGTTTTGTATGGCATGGCTGCTTCTGGCACTTGGCATCCTTGTTTGCGCACGGTTGTGACTACTTTGATTCCCAAGAAAGCTTCTGTTGACTTTCTGACTGATCCTGCTGGTTTGCGTCCGATCTCTGTGGCTTCTGTGGTTTACCGTGCTTGGTCTGGTGTCGTTGCGCAACGTCTGCATGCTGTTTTGGAGTGTTCTCTGCCATCGTGCTCTCATGGCTTTCGCACTGGTGAGTCTGCCCAAGCTGCTATGGCCTCCACGTATCTTCGTTGTCAAAATGCTTCCTTGTCTGGTTGTCATGTTTATTTGGTTTCCTATGACATGCACAAGTGTTTCGACTCGCTTCCTTGGCGCAAAGTGCGTGACAGCTTGGTTGAATGCGGCGTGCAACCTGCGTGTGCTAGTGCTCTTCACAGTCTGTGGTCTGGTCTTCGTCGTATTTGGAAACTCCAAGGTCGTTTCTCTGACGCGTCCTTCTCCAGTACTAACGGCCTGTTTCAAGGGGACCCTAGCGCTCCGGCGTGTTTGTCTGCGTTTCTCTGCTGTCCTATTCGTGAGTTGGCTCGTCGTTTTCCTGAGGTTTCTATCTCGCTTTATGCTGATGATGTCCTGTTGTCTTCGCCTCATCTGTCTCAGCTTCACGCTGCGCATGATTTCTTTGTTAGTTGGCTTCAGGACCAGCATGTCACCTTGAACATCGGTAAGTGCAAGTGGGCCAGTACTTGTCCAGGCAATGATGCCGTGAGCACGGCTCATTTTCAAATTGGAGGCGTCAACTTGGGGCGTCTCACTATTTTGGAAATATTGGGTGGGCATTTTGATCTCGGCGCTCTCTGCGTTGGCTCTTCTGCTCACTGGACTGCGTTGTTGGACAAGTTCTTAACCATTGCCAAACGGTTCAAGTGTTTGTCAGTCGGGTATGAACCTCGATCTAGAGATATTGGGGCTTTGATGAATATGCTCACTTACTCTGCTATCGCTTGGGATCCTCTGAGTGCGGTTGATGCTCGCACACAGCGCATCCTTGTCAATGTGCTCTCTGGTGGTCGCACCAATACCCGTAGGTGCTTAGAAGTTAGTCTTGCTCTTCTCAGTCCTATTCATCGGTCCTCTATTCCTCATGCGCTGCTTCATGAACAGGTTGCGTTGTTGTTTCGGCTGGCAAATACCAATTTGGAATATCAACAGCTTTTGCAGTCCCATTTCCATTTATGTTCTGAAATGACTTGTCCTCCTGCTGATTCCTTTTATGTTCGGCTTCAACAGGCCCTTCAGGCTTTTGGGTGGAGGTGGGTTGCTTGGAATCAACTGGCGTCTCAAAGCGGACAAATGTTTCATCTAGTCTGCAAGACCATGGAATGTCGCCGCAGAGTTATGTGTCAATCCTTCGCCCAGGCCTCTGATATGGCTGATGTGATGAAAACTTTTGCAAGCACACGTTTGCTTCATAAGAGGGAACTGCATCAACATAGCCTTTCATGCTTGCATGCTTTGCGCGATGCCATGCGCCATGTGTGTTTTCAGACTGCTAGTCGGCGCAGACGTGACATGCGCAATTTGGAACATGTTGATCGGGCTCTGTTGCGTCGTGTTCTGGGTTCCGATGAGGTTGCATGCAGTATTCGTTGTATTATGCAAGGTGCCACTCTCACTGCTGATCGTCTGAACCGGTCTTCTCGCGGTACTGTGTCTGCTACTTGTCCGTTTTGTCGCCTTGGTGTTGAAACCGAGATTCATCGTTGGTGGCAATGTCCGCGTTGGGATTATGTCAGGTCTTCCTGCTTGGGTGAGCATGCCCCTGTGATTTGCGCCCAGCTTGCTGCAAGCGACTCTGTCGCATCAATTTGTGGCATCCCCACTCTGGGTTTGTCAGCTTTTCTACAGTCAAAGTGGGTAGACATTTGTGCTTGCATGGCGGCTGTTTTGGGAGCTGCCAATGAACATGATCAGTAATTTTTTCGTTGGCTCTCAGTTTTGGCGTGCATCGGCACTGTGTCCGTTTTGTGGATGCTTTGTCCTTGGCTGTGCGCATTTCTTCTCGAATTTGATCCTTGTGATTCTTTTGTATAGCTTGTCTGGCTTGGATCTTTTGTTGAATCCGGGGCAGATTGCATTCATGCGCTTTTCCAGCATGATCTTTTGGCAACAATTTTGTGGGCCTGTGGCCCTTCACCTGGGGTAACAGATTCAAGTTCTTTTCTTGGGTCCGAGATCCCTCATCTGCATTTTGTAGGTGAAAATTGGATCAACATGAAGGCCATGAAGGCCATGAAGGCCATGAAGACCATGAAGCCGATGAAGGCAATGCGAGTCCGCCCAGAGTTGGCAGCGAAATGGAATGAGGACATGGATGAGGCATACCAGGAGTATGTGGATATGGTGGGCTACAACCGCAGCTTCCAATGCAAGCCAGCTTGGGGATGGCGCGAGTGCCTGGACAGAGATTTATTACCCATGCATGCAGTTGCATGCCAACATTCAGAGATATATTGCATTTTTTGTACCAAGTATATGATGCTGATGAATATATATATATATATACACATATATTCCAGATATGTGATGCTAGTCCAACATACATGAGGATTATATATGTATATATATATATATATACATTGGAACAATTGAACTGAGGTGGTGGGTGATGCACATGCAGGAGAAGGGATGGGTCAGTAACAAGAGGAAGATCGTCGCCAACGTGACTGGCTGGACCCTGAATGGATGAAACTAGGTGCACCTATACCAACGTCCGCAGCTGGCACCATGCACCAACGTCCGCGGCTGGCGGCTGGCACTGCATGCACAGTGGATGAAACACCGCATGTTGTAGCAAACTTTTGAAAATCACAGCTGTATATATATTCAGCTGATTCTGTTGGCTATACATGCAGAAATTCGTCGTAAACAAGCCTGTGCGACCGGAACAACTTGCTATAGCCAAAAAAACATTTGGCATGAGCTATATAGAGCGGTGCTTGAGGTCGTTGTCTTGAAATTCATCCGGTGTTTTACTTTAAATTGTCCATGTGGTTCATGCTCTCGAATCCTCCTCGCTGCAGGTGCTCCTGCAGTCAAGCGAGGCGCGTGGATGGGAGAGATGCTCCTGCTGCTGGATGACATCTTCCACTTTAAGATTATATACACATTCAGTTGCATGATTTTGGCACGCAGTCGTGCATCCATTCGCAGTCTATATATCACGCCTGGCATCATTTTCAGCTGTCGGGTGAAGAATTTGGCATGATGCTTGCTGGGTGTTTGCTCGCAAGCTTTTCTGGACAAAAGAACATCAGGCATTGCCACCCATGTTGCCACTATATTTTCCGTGGTATGTATATATATATATATACATATGTGTGTAGTTTTTACCTGTTCTATTTATGCATGAGATATATATGACAGAAAAAAACAGATAATGAAACAGTTTTTCCATGCACGGCATTCATGCAAAGATTGCATGTCGATCTCATGCCAACTAGACGCAATTACCCATCATGCACATGTTCTTGCAGAATCCTCGCATTCCACATGGTCTGTGTGTGATGCTGAGGGCAGCAATCTGATTTGGGTGTCATCTTGATGATGCCATGCATGGCCGGACACAGACGCACCGACTGGGATTGAAGAAGTTTGTGTCTGCAGCTGCTCTTGAAGAACTATGTGAAGAACTAGGTATCAAGGGCGGTACTCGGCGGACAGTGAAGAGAAAGCGACAGGCAGACATCTCTCATGTTACCCCATATGGTGACATCTTAGTGGAGAAGAACATCGCAGGCACCAAAATTTGGATGGTGCAACCCGTTGCCATGCTGTACCACATATCTCGATCATGCTTGGAATTTAGCAAATTTTTCAAGGAGATACTTTCACGAAAGCCATGCACCAGAGACCACCCCATCAAGGTCATCGTCTATTCTGACGAAGTGACACCGGGCAATCAACTTCGTCATCAAAACGCTAGAAAGATCCAAGTGTGTTACTGGTCTCTTGAATGTTTTGGCTTGACCAATCTCTCCAACGAAAGGCTTTGGTTCATTCTCAGCATTTGCCGTAGTGATGTTGTGAAGGAGCTTCCAGGCAAAATGTCGCAATTCATGAAAATCTCCATGCAAATGTTTATGGAGCCATATGACTTGCGCAGTGGCATCATTTTAGATTTTTTTGATGGCTCAAAGGCCACAATCTTTGGCCGTGTAAGCATTCTGTTGGGGGACGAAGCGGCATTGAAAGAGACTCTGGATTGCAAAGGAGCTGCTGGGACTTTTTTTTGTGCTCTATGTGCGAACATCTGTGACCACAAGTCTCAGCTTCACAGTCATGATACACGTGGGTACCTCCAGCCGAGCACGTGCCTGGACCTGGATCTGTTCCGACCAAACACTGACGAAAGCGTCATGGAAACGTTGCGCGAACTGAGCCGCTGGAAAGCAACTTTGCCAAAGACTCGATTCCAAAAAAAGGAACAGGAAGCCGGCTGGAATCTGAACCAGAATGGCCTGCTTTTGTCAAGGCTCCAGATCGGTGCGGCATCGTCCATCATGTTCGACTGGATGCATGTTTATGTGGCATCCGGAATATGGCAGCTGGAAGTCATGCAGCTCCTAACCGAACTGCAGCGTGTTGGAATCACGCAAGCGATGTTGCACCGAGAGCTGCAGGCATGGCACTGGCCAGAGCGGATCTCCTCGCGGTCCGTCAGTGGGCAAAAGATCTTCGCCAAGAAACAAGAGGGCGACAGCGTTAAGTGCTCTGCTTCAGAAGCCCTTTCGGTCTACACAGTCCTACGATGCATCCTGATACGTTTTCTGCGGTCTGGTCAATGTAGAGGCATTGAAGACCACATTGACTCATTTGTCAAAATATGTCGTGTGCTTGACCTGCTGCAATCCCTCAAACGAGGGCACACAAAGGCGAGCACATTGCACGAAGCTGTGGCTGGACACCTGACGGCATATCAAAAAGCTTATGGCACAGAGCGCTGGCTGCCCAAGCACCACTATTCACTTCATCTTGCAAGGCTCTACAGTTTTCACAAAACCTTGTGTTCGTGTTGGACGCATGAGAGACGCCATCGTGAAATAAAACGATACGCGTCGCAAAACCCGAACACTCATGCAGGCTTTGAGAAGAGTATCGTGGTCGATGCGTTGCACTTGCAACTGAGTGAGCTTGATTCCTCTTCTGTAGAGTCGTTTTCTGTCGGTATACTTGATGCAGCAGAGTGCACACTTCATGCAAAGGTGTATTTCAGAGCTTTGATGGATGCGGATGGTGATTTCGAAGTTTCAAACACAGCATGCTTCCACCCTGGTTCTGTTTGCTCAGCTGATGATGTTGTTTTCCTGAAAATTGACGAAGAACCATGTGTGGGGCGTGTCAAATTTTTTGTTGGCTTGAAGGATTCTGCCGAATGCTGGGTATGCATCGAACACTGGACACCTCGTGGGCACAACAGATTTAGCAGAGATGACAGGGAGCAAACATCCATTCTTCCTGTTACATGCATTGTTGATGCTTGTGCTTGGACACCTCAAGATGATCTTTACCTCGTGGCACCATCATCTTTGTTTGCTTGAATGAACAGCATGCCATGCAGGCTCGCTGTCGGATCTATATATATGTATGTACATTTAGATTTGCTGACAACAGCATGCATGCCGATTGAAAAAATCAACTGCGCGATTGAAATTTGAGGAAAACACATGGAAAGACATTGTCGTCAGAGGCCAGTGCGTGTAGCTACATTCAACTTCAAAATAACTTGAAGAGAAGCTCTACAAAAAAATCTTGGCGACAAAACATTGCATGTATTGTATTATCGCGTTGTGTGGTAAACACACAAAAGAAATTATCACATGGCCGAATGGATTTATACTGAGCATATAGTTTGAGGCGCAATGACCAAGTTTGCTGGGTAAAGCTCGCAAGCATCATTTTTTCAATTGCATCAGGCTGCAGCTGATTGCCGAGCACCTGCAAGCGGCATGCTTGCACCCTTTTTGGAAGTGCAAAAGCGGACTGCGTGCCAGTCTTTCCACATATGGCTCATGGGAATTCTTTGCATCTATCATCGTTCTTTTTGAAACGCATTGTGTAAAAAGAACCGTGGTTCATAGCCTTTCCCTTAAACATTCATATATTTTACCAAGCTGCCACAAAGTGAATGTATTTTTCACCGAACAGCCACCACGAGTTTATGGCCTTCTCAAGCTATGCATATTTGTTTGTTCTTCGGTCGAGTGGGTATACTTGGCATACTTGGCAAGTGGGTTGGAAGCTAGTTATAAGTCGGCCAGGGCCTACTTAGTAAGTCCGCCGGGGCCTACTTAAGAATGGTTAAGGCGCCACTTATAAGTATGCCAAACGATTTAACAATTAGATAACAAGTAGGCCCGGTCTACTTAACAAACCTGCCAACATAGTTAACTAAATGGTTTTAACTATGCCAAAACTAACTTATATAACCATCAAAAATAAGTATCCCATCCACGTTTAACAAGTCTTCCAACCAGCCCAACTACTTAACAACCAGGCCGCCCATCCAAGTACTGTTCAAGTTCAGGTATTTCATGTCCGTCACTGCCGTCACCAGGCTCATAGTTTCCTGGGACGCGCGGATTTTTTGCACATTCTGCATTCATCTGTGCCTTCACAAACTGTGCCTGTCATACTGTTTAAGTTGAAGTATTTCATATCTGTCACTGTCGTCACCAGGTTCACAGTTTCCTGGGACGTGCGGGTCCTCGCACATTTTCGATTCATCTGTGCCTTCACAAACTTCATCTGTGCCTTCACATACTGTGCCTGTCATACTGTTTAAGTTGAAGTATTTCATATCTGTCACTGTCGTCACCAGGTTCATAGTTTCCTGGGACGTGCGGATCCTCGCACATTCTCCATTCACCTGTGCCTTCACATCCTTCACCAAGTGTGTCATACCTTTCACATGCTTCATATCTCTTATGTTTCATATTCTGTGTTGTTTATCTTTGCTTTGTTATCGACCACGTGCTACCAAAAAGGTAGGTATATAGGGGGGTAGATATATATATATATATTAAATAGATATATGTATCTACATTTAGTTTATACATATTCACCCATTTATAAGGTACATCCATTAATCAATACCATCCGACATTTTTCACAGTGTTCACCGACGTCCAAGGTCCGGGGCTCAGTTCAGTCAATGCGCTTGGGAGCAGGACGTGAAGACGTGCCTTGAGACCAACTGCCAGGGCTGCGGTGGCGAGCAGTGCCAGCTATGCCGCGCTGATGCTGGGACGGATTTTTCCATGGCTGTTCTATCAGAAAGGGGGAATCTGGGAAGATTGGGGAGATGGGACCCTGCTTCTGGAAATGTTGGGACGATGCAAATCTCTAGGGAACCTGTGGGGAATCTACTGGGAAGATTTGCAAGATTGGCCAATTGTTGTTCCCTCGCAAGCCCAAGGACGCGGAGAAAATCAACAGCTGCTGTGAGGATCATAGTCATTGGGACTCCGTGGCGCCACCGCAAATGTGCGTTGATGCCAAGGCTTTGTGCGGTCTGGGGAGAGGGTGTGGCAAAGGTCATTGATGAAAGCAGGCAGAGTCAGATCCATCTACTTCTAACAGTTTTAACATGTTTTAACATCTTGGGGATGTTCAAAACCATTGGAAAAGAACAAACAGAGGTATTTCTTACAACCACTTTCAAAATTCAGGCGCGCATTCACCTTGGATTCCGTTTGGGATCTTGAAAATAACTCCAATCATCACCTGGATTCCATTTGGGGGGGCAAGAAGTCAACTGAAAAAATGACACCAAAATCCACCCCACGGATCCTCACGGTTTATTTATTGTAAAACGTCATTTTTGCCCAACAAATGAAACAAAACATGTTCCCGCAATAAAAACATCACCGCATATCATTTCTCCTCACGTACCGTAAACATTCTCAGTAAGCATCAGTAAACAACGGAGTAA